GGAAGTCCTACTCTCATTCCGGCCAGTGTGACGATGTCCGTGTCTCTGTCTTCCTTTGCTGTGTTGTAGGTCTCGTGAATGTTGTCTGCTTCCATCAGCATGTGATGCCTTTCGTTCTCATAGCGGGGGCAGTGGTACAGGTAGTGGTTGGTGGTCTCCAGAGCGTCGCAGTTTGGGCAGTATGGTGAGACTTCAGGGTTTTTCCAGTTCTGGTACGCATTGAGTCTGGTGTGCCCGCTCACCAGCTGGTTGATGGTGACTTGTGTGCTTCTTCTACCAAGTGCTCTGCCTTTCTTCTTCATGTTTGTTCCTATCTTCAGCATGTGTTGACTTGTCGTGTTGAGTTCTGTTCTTCTATCCCATCTCTCATGTGCTTTTGTTTCAATGTGTTTCATGGCTTGATGCTTGGTCCAGGATGTGCTGTTTTGGGGGTTGGTTGATGCCTCGTTGGCTGCAAGTTTAGCTTCGTTATCTGCGATTTCATTACCAGAGATACCCATGTGCCCTGGGCACCATGTGATTTGTGTGGTGATACCTTGCTGTCGGAGTGCTTGTAGCTTGTTTCTGATGGTGTGTACCAGGGCGTTGTAGGCTTCCACCTGCTGTACTCCTATGACGTTCTCTATTGCTGCTTTGCAGTCACAGAGGATGAGTACTCTCTTGCTTGTGGTTTGTCTGCGGGTGATGGTGTCTATGGCCAGATGAAGTCCCTCCAGTTCCCCCTCATAGTTGTTGGACTTAGCGGCTACTGCTTTGCGAACTGCGAACGGTTTCAGGGGCACCCGACATGATCCCTTGGGTTTCTCCTCGTTTTCTCCGCGGAATTTTACACTACAACTATTCAGGCTGATGTAGGGTCGAAAACGCGTTGACGACTAAATTTTCACTAAAGCCACGAATAAGTACGACGAAACAAGAAAGCAACAATAGCCCGGATAGCAGTCTATCAAAGTTGAACGAACGAGAGCGTTGATAAACAGTGTGCTGTTGAAACCGTTACCCTCACGCTCTGACTGAGGACTAATTCGGACAAGGCCGGAAGACGGGCACGGGACGCTCGTATTACATTCTCAAACCAAACCAGGGGCCAGGCCTACCAGGGGCCAACAGCATTCCCCCGGTCCCTCAGAGAGCGCGGCTGTTTATTTGTGTACCGAGCCGGTAACGGTCGTGTTGTCACCAGATGAAAACTCGCTCGCAGTCACTACTATGTTTCTAGTCTTGTATCCACTCGGGTGTATGTTCACTATCGACTACACCGACGGGGCCCAAGTTCGACATCATGGAAAACCACGCGTCTGGGATGAAACTGTATGAAGAGTCAAACCTCATGTAGCCGGGATACCGAAGAGACTACAAGAATGGGAAGGAGGTACGTTATATCTCGTTTTCACATAATGTACGATTTGTACACTTCCGCCGTTAGAACCTTTTTTGTAATACCAGACATGTGGTAGCGCATGGATGAGATTTCAGTGTGTCCTGCAAGGGGGTGGGGGTGTGAACTATATGTAGTAGGCATTCGATTCTTCTGTGTGACTAACCGATTTTTTTTTTATTTTGGCCTGGTAATAGGTACACCACGCACACACACCCGTAAATGGATGGACACTCCCTCGCTGCCTGAAGGAAGAAGTCGGGTAAGTAGAATGCATTTGTGATCACCCCACTCTCAGCCTCTAACAGGTTATCAATCTCCTAGTAGGGTCGTGAATTGTATTAGATCAATACGTCATATTGTATATTAGATCAATATATACTGCCACTCAGATCTTTGGGTGTCAGCATACTGCATACTGGATACTGCTTGGAAAGTTTGAAACTGTATTTCAGCCACCCAAATATCTGCTTGGAGATTAGTATTAGATTACATGTGAGATAGCGGCCATGGGAGCTTCGCGGTGCCTTCCTCTTGTTGTTGAGAGGCGACTACTAGTAGACAGACGTTGCTAATTTTGCTTTGGGATTGAAAAACGGCTCCCTCCTAGACATCAGACTCAGAGTTTGACATCACAAAGCTAATTGCACGTTCCCTTATTTAAAAAGAGAAACAAATTGTTGTGTGCAACCAAAATAATATTTTTACTTTCTAACATGTGCGATTCAGGTCACCTCACTAGTTGAACTTGTCTTCCTGTGGGGAAGAGCTGATAAACTAGATACTGCTTGGAAAGTTTGAAACTGTATTCCAGCCACCCAAATATCTGCTTGGAGATTAGTATTAGATTACATGTGAGATAGCGGCATTGGGAGCTCCGCGGTGCCTTCTTCTTGTGTCTCTTGTTGAGAGGCGGCGACAAAATGGGTCATCTGGTTTCCATCTTTTCTCTGTGTATCAAACATGTGATTTTCTAGAGGGGCCCTGGTAGATTTGTCTTAGCAGATAGAAGAAAGTGTTGACAAAACAACTTTCACTAAATTCGAAGTGTGGGGTACCCGGAGCTTGGGTTTCACAGGCTCGATTAATTTCAGTAACTGATAGCAATGGCCTATGGAATCTGTAGTTTTGCCACCGTAGGATCTGCTTGGAGACTATAAAACACCCCCATGATGTCTATGTGGAGATTTCAGGGCAGAGATAAGAGGAAAACTACCGAGTGTTCAGGAGTGAGGATTGGGTTATCTTTGCGACTCAACCGTGACAGGGAGAGGTCAGTGATAAACACACGACATGGAGTCCTGGAGGTCCTGTAGGGACAACCGTAAACACAGTCCTAACATTTATCTCGGAGAAAACAGTTTCTTGAATTCACGGTTTCATCTGCATGTTGAAGGGGACATGTACTGTACATAAATTGGGCCTGACCTATATATATATATATATTTAACGGACTGCCAGAAATATCTGTGTGTGGGGGTGGGGGTGGGGGTTGGGGGCTCTGTCTCTGGTATATCATGCCAGAGCTGACCTATGGCCTTGGAGATGGTCCGGGATACAAGATTACGGCCTAGTCAGCTTTTTAAGTACCGGGTGTCTCATCCAAAGATGTGCGAAATGCGATCCACACTTCGAATTTAGTGAAAGTTGTTTTGTCAACACTTTCTTCTATCCGCTAATACAAATCTACCAGGGCCCCTCTAGAAAATCACATGTTTGATACACAGAGAAAAGATGGAAACCAGATGACCCATTTTGTCGCCGCCTCTCAACAAGAGACACAAGAGGAAGGCACCGCGGAGCTCCCAATGCCGCTATCTCACATGTAATCTAATACTAATCTCCAAGCAGATATTTGGGTGGCTGGAATACAGTTTCAAACTTTCCAAGCAGTATCCAGTTTATCAGCTCTCCCCCACAGGAAGACAAATTCAACTAGTGAGGTGACCTGAATCGCACATGTTAGAAAGTAAAAATATTATTTTGGTTGCATACAACAATTTGTTTCTGTTTTTAAATAAGGGAACGTGCAATTAGCTTTGCGAGGTCAAACCCTGAGTCTGATTGAAGTCTAGGAGGGAGTCTAGGTTTTTTTCAATCCCAAAGCAAAATTAGCGACGTCCGTCTAGCCTCCAGCAGGCTTTCCTTTTAGTTCCTACGGGGGTACTTATCGTAGAATTTGTTAAAAAGAAAGAAGTAAATAGTGTGACAGGAGAGTCAGTCCACGGGAGGATGAATTTCCCCCTTCTGAATAGCAAATAAACTCTACGGTGGCTAAACCCCTCTAGTCAATTATTCTACCTTTTGGCTAAATTTTACTTTATTCGAACCCACGTTGTTAGTATGGCTGTAGACTGTCGGGCCTGTCAAACCCCTATTCCAAATTTACTTATCCAGGGGTATTCTGCAAGCAAAAAGGCGAAATGGTTAATAATGTCAGGGTCATTATGCAGATTTCAAGCTCACCTCACTAATCCAATATACAGTGACTGTATGGGAGCTTGTAAACGTTTTCATGACCTTGCATTCCCCATATCTGCTTGAAGCTTTCCAGCTGTCTGACACCCTTCCCCTGACGACTAGCCTGACGGAACCTCGCTTTTCGCCGGCTCCCTAGTTAAACTAGGGAGCTTTTCGCCGGCTCGCTTTTCGCCGGCTCCCTAGTTAAAATAGGAGCTTGGGTTTCACAGGCTACCCTGACCATCAACCAACCAAGTGTCGCTGACGCCCCGAGTTTCTGTATCTGTACATGTATAGCCGGTATAACCGCCTTTCGGCGTAAACACCAGCTTCTCAGGCACGCGGCGCGGCGGCAGCTGACTTTATTACACCGATCGACTTGTTACACCTAACCCTTGAACTTCTAGCTCAAGACTAATTGTTTTAAGCTATCTAATGATAATGCCCCTACTGTATGGGGGCCTCCAAGGGGGGGTCCCGACAACGCTCTACGCTAAATTTTGAGAGCCGGCTACGTATTACGCTGAATTCCGGACGCCTCTCTACGCTCTACGCTAAATTCGAAAGATTCCGGACGCACTATGCAGAACTCAATCTGACAATCACCTAGCAACTACATGTTTGCGTGAAAACCTTTTTGATTTATTACATGTAGAGGTGACATAACTTGAATTAAAAGTAGTAACCGGCGGTCACTTCCTTATACATTGAAAGTATAGAATACAAAACGGGGTATTCAGTATTACCGCAGGTACCAACTTGACCGCGAGTCGATCGCCCGAAGATCGGAGGGAGATCCGTGAATGGAGGTAACATGGCCGTAGCCAGAATTTTGAAGGGGGGCCAACTTTGAAAAATGAACCTTCTGAAATGGCATTTCCTGCGTTTTTAGAGGGTTTCAAAGAAAAAATCAGAGATAACTTTTTCAATGACAAAGTGAGCAGTTTTCCTACAACGGATTCCAGCCTTGCTGGTGACACGAATCAGTTCATCTTTTAAAGAAAAGTCTTGGACCTTTAGATAAAAAGTGGACCAAAAAGTGGACCTTTGAGCCTTGTGGGGTTGTCGTCCGAAGGTAGAAAAGGCCGCAAACAATACAGCGTAATTTGTCAAAACGACTCAGCTGCCGATTGCTGACGGTCCCGCGTTACCCATCACCCGCACAATGACGGGGATGACATTGCTCTTTTCGGGAGTGTCCTCCATTACCCTGGCCATTGATCAGCAATGATGTTCCCGCTAAGAAACGTCTTGAGGGCCCCTATTGGGCCTTACAAGTCATGTGGTTCTAAGGCCTTCTACCCTCTTCATCTGTGGCCATCTGTGGCGTTTGGCCAATGGTCCTCCTGTACGTCACCGATGGTAAGGTCAATCTCGTACCCAGCGCATTGTGGGATCATTCCCATGTGTTGCCTTGTTCTTGTGTATGGCTCTGGGAACAAGTCTGGTGGATTGTTCGATTGTATAGAAGGGGGTAAAGCAA